TCGCGATCACGGTCACGATCACAGTCACAAGAGTCTGGCTTTTTTTTCACAAGGTAGCTGACTAAGCATCACGAACACTTCTGACGACTGGCTGTAAGTCCCCCCCATATTCTAGCAAACAAGAAAAACTAAAAAGGAAGACAAACTTGCACTCCTGCTATGTACCCTTTTGCTGTATTCCTCCATACTTCTTTTCTCTGTACTTTCCTATACCTCTTCCTCCCGCACTCTCCTATACTTACTATCATACTCTAGTGCTCTTATATTTCTGTTGTGCTCTCTGACTATAAGCCTTTCTATCACACTCTCCTACTGCATGCCTTTTACTGTGCTCTCTTGTACTGCTACACTCCGCCACCATTCTCCTGTACTCCTATGCTCCAACACTGCCATGCACTCTCAAAGTACGCTTTTGAAAACTAATAAACAAACAAGTAAACTATACAGAAAGGGAAAGAGGTAATAATGAAATGGGGAAGGGGGAGTAGGGGGTAGAGAGAGTATACCATATAGTATTTTCAACATTTCTACCTCTTCTCTCTATTCCTGTTATTTGCTTGTTTGTTTTGTTTTTAGTAGAGCACTTCAGCAGTACAAGAGGAGAGCACATAGTAGAAGAGTACAGGAGAGTACATGGTGGAAGAGTATAGGAAGAAGCTGGCAGGAAGGTATACAGTATAGGAACATAATAGAAGAAAGTATAGCAGAAGAAGTATAACAAAAAAGTGTAGTAGGAGAAGTAAGGTAGAAAGGCACATGCCTGGAGTACATGTTTATCTTCTCTTCAATTAGCTTGTTTGATTGCCAGTATGAAGAACTTAACTGGTAGGATGTAAGTTAGTCTTTTCTTTGTTAGCTTTTTCAGTTTGCTTATGTATAAGAGATGTACCTGAGAGGAGGAGAACTTGATTGGCTGTTTTAAACTGTATTACAGTTACAATTTATATTCCTGTCAAGTCTTTTCTGTCAGTAGATATTACTAGTGCATATGACAGTTAGGAGGTAAGAGAGTATATATGAGTATGAGAGAGAATAGCAGAGAGTTGAGTGATTATTCTTTGTAAGTAAGTACTTAGTATTATTTTATTTCATAGCCTATTACTTACTTAGTTCTGATTGGACAATTACTATTTGATTTCTATTTATTAACTTTTGCCTCTACCATTGCACTGCTCATTTAAAAACAATTGTCTATACCAAGAAGAGGTTAAAGCATGCTCCTCTTTGTAAGGATTGGACTGCAGAGAACTTTGAAAATATACTTAACAGTGATAAGTATACTATTAGAAAGTCTGCTACCAGCAACCTAGGTCAGAAATAGGTTTTTTATTTATTAGAAGAGAAGTGGCTTACTGATTATATCAAGCCAAGAGGAAAGGCCAACAAGGTTGGCCTCATACTATGAAGAGACTTTTGACATAGTTGCTAGAGCCATTGGTGTCTATTCTAGAGAGTAAAGTAGATCATTAGATCTATATTACTCTCTTAGATAAGTATTTTTCATTTGTCATATAGGAGATTATAAGAAAGAGGACAGAGACTCTTTATTCTAGTAAAATAATATCCAAGTTCATAATATTATAATTAAGGATACCCACAAGTAGTTTATCAACAATGGAATTGGTCTTAAATATCATTCTCCTTTATCATCTGATCCTAATTCTATCAAGCACTCCTGAACTAAGCTCTAGCGACTCCTCTATAATATCCAATGCTCTAATATCTTAGATACTAGAAAAGGCTCTATGGGATTTAGGAATAGTTGGTAGAAGTGCTACCTATAGTATAGACAATTAGATTTCCAATTCCTTTTTTGAAAAGCTTTGGTAGTACTCCATACCTTCTCAAGTTACAGTAGTTACTAGTACTAAAGACTAGTATACTAGATACTACTAGCTTTATAGATCTTTTATTTTTAGTTTTTAATTCTTTGTTTTAATATCTAGCTTTTAATTTTTTATTTTTAATATTTCATACAATATTTGCTTTATTGTTTCAAGAAACAAACAAAAGGGGAGGGAGGGTAGATGGTATTATGCAATTCAGAGTGGCAGAGACTATCTTACATTGTACTATCACTAAGACTTTTGTCTAGTGGCTGTATGTTTTATTTTGTACTCTAACTCATAGTCAGACTCATAGAGTTAGGATTCTTTTTATATTGCACAGAAAAATATTATATTTGTTAGTACTTCTTGGTTCTTGGTGAAAAATCATATAACTCAAGATAATACTAGTACAGTAGTCGTTTCTCTCTAAGAAGTACAGATACTGAACAAATACATCTCCTGCCAAGTAGTACTATATTATCCAAAGGCTTGCTAGTAGTTAAGGTCAGAGAAGAGCAGGCCACCATCAAGTATTTACTAGTAGGCAAGACCTAAGTACCAATACTACTATAGTAGAGACAATAGGAATACCACAAGTGTGAACTGCAATAAATTAAAAATCAACAAAGCCTTTGTGCAGTTGAAATGCCCGCAGAATGACCCTAATATTTTATCGCCAGCCACATATCATCATACGAATATCGAAACCAAACTTGTATTTAAACAATCGTAGGTCCATACCACCGACTAAAATCCGGAAATGACGGGAATCCAGAGTGCCTACTGGTACTCGCCTAACTTACGAGTAATACATCTCATGATGAATCGATAACACCCGACGGGGACGACGAAAAAAAAGAACTCAACCCCGAGTGACGCACCATGACATGACTCACCCAACTTTTTACCCCGATTGTTTAATCCCCGAGACGCAGCCGTGAGGGTTGGAGAACATTCCATCAAGTACCGTACAGTACGGTACCGTACTCTTACGGGGTGTGCAGCACCTCCCACACTGCTCGTTTATTCCTACCCATTCGCGTTACTCACGATGGGAAGGTGTATGATACTGTACAAGTACCAGTACCCCACCGCATCCCAAATGCAAACTTAAATCGACAATCCTCAACTGACTCACTTCCCCCCCCTCGCTTACCGTAGAACTCAGAACTGAATGTGTGGAACAGTACCGGTAGGTTAATCCACCGCTTCGTCGGAAATACGGTACGACAAGCTTACGAATCCAACATCAGAACCTTGCAATCCCAGTCAGGAACGACCGGTTTAAGCTCTATTCTCTGGATCTGGTATGTGTAGCATGATTAGAAATCCAAGTACCGGTTATCGCTGAAGGTTGTGAGTGGGGGGGTTTCTGGGATTGGGTGGCCTGCAAGGTGGAAGCGATGCCGGTACTGGTGCTGGTAAGTTTTGTCGGGGATGCTTGGGATGGGAGTAGACTACCGGTATGGATTTTTTGGGGGGGGAGGTTGATACCAGCGGTTTGGTGGGAGGCTTTGATGTAGCGAATGGTGGTGTGCCGTACTTGCTTTCCTATCGATACTTTACTCGAGTGCTTAATTGGTGCTGGCTAATGGGCAACGTGCTGCTGCACTGTGGGAAACCCAGATACCGGTATGCCAAATATCGCGAGAAGGTCAAATATTATTACTGTACTTGTATAATTGCTTCACCTCCCAGCCCTAGCGTACGAGCATTAATATCGTTACTGGTATCGTAACCTGTAGACTACGAGTACTTTACTGGTAGAAATGACTAACGGTCCACCCTCACCACTCTGCTCGAATAGTCTACCATAATGGGCGCTGGGTGGTCTATCATACCATCCCATCATCACAGCACAGCACAGCACATCACATCACTCCACAGGAATCAACTCCCCTCCCTAGGCTCCCCCTCCTACAATAAAACACATTACAAATCAAACAACCCAGCACCTTCTTTAACTTACTGTACCTGTACGAGCACTAGTACGTAGACTAAAAGCATGATACCCCGACTTACCACCAACTTGGGAAAAAACATCCCGCAGTAAACCAGTCCTGACCATAAAAAATCAAAAAAAATCCCACCATCTTCCAAAAAAAAAAAACTGAAAAACAAAACTAACTACCGTAAAGCTAAAAACAACTCCCCCGCTACTATGATACTTTAACTTAGCACCGGTACTGGTACGACATCGACAACCCACAGCCAAGCTTAAATTCAAGCCATGCGATAGAATTAGTCTACCGGTAGTCTACGAACTCGTACACCAGCTTCAAGCAAGTAAATGTTCAACGACACCCCCCCCCCCCCATTCCCACCAAAAGCACAGTACTGTACTTGTACCCTACTGTGCAGTACTGTACGAGCACAGTGGAGTACGCACCAAGCACGGCATACCGTATCCCGCCGATTAATAATACCAAAAACCTGACCCATAATACGGCACGCACAATATCACCATATATCACATTTCCCGAAATCCATCAAAGCAGGAAACGGAGGGAGCTCCGACCAGAGCAGAGCAGAGCACTCGAGTAAACTAGTCTATGGCAGTCCACCGTGCTGTGCTCTCCACTCGTAGACCGCAGACCATTCTAAAACCAGGCACTCGATCCACCACCCCCCCCTCGTCAGCGGCGTCGCTTTGTACAGTATCGGCGGGGTGAGTCAACGACGATATTTAGGTTAAGAGTTGCAGCGGTATATTAGAGACTCCTTCTTTTCATCCATCCATCCTTCCCTTCCCTTCCCTTCCGGAACGTCAGTAGGAAACTTCTCCCAACGATAAGTCGCCGGGCAGATTGCGAACAAATCACAACAGAGAAGATAATTTGGTAACATCATACGATACTCGGTCCACGACGTTCGTCGACTCTTCGCCGACAACTGGCGACAGGGCGGATTGATATCGTTTGCTGGTTTTCGGTACGGTGCGGTATTCAAAGGAGAAAGAAAAGAGTCCTGTGCACTTTATCGCCAAAACCGCCCCACAACCCCCACTATCACCACCAACTGTGCCTACTGTGCTGTGCTGTGCTGTGCTGCATCCCAAACTTTATAAAAAACACCTTCCCGATCCACGGTCTCTCCAAACTAGACTTCCCTATCCTTACCCTTACCCACCGACCGACCGCTATTTCCCCGGGCATGAATTAATAGCCAACCATGTCTTCTTCAATATCGACCCGCGCCTCAACCTTCAGCACCTTCCTGGCCACCACCGCCACCATCAGCCCGCTCTCGAAACCCCAAACCAGCATAAGCATAAACGGCGACAACGCCCTAAGCGCATACCGCACACAGGCAACCTACACCACGCACTCCCGAATAACTGGAACGGTGCAGGTGGTGTCACCGAATTGCGACGTCCGCTTCGACGAGGTGGTCATCACCTTCGAGGGGACGACAAGGACATGGCTGGACAGGCTAGGTCCCACGCCGGCGAGTAGTGGGCGAACATATGCGGACAAGACCGTTAGTAGCACCTCCCCACCCCGTCACAGTCCACAACAACGACAACACAAAAGGTTAACAAATGACGCTCGGAACGATGCAGTTCTTGAAACTGACGCAGCCAACCGATGACACCCTACTGCCCATCCCCCGCCTCCTGACGAAGTCGAAAACGTACACATTCCCCTTCGAGTTCGTCATTCCGGCAAAGCTCCTACCAAGCGCCTGCTCCCACCGCCGCTCCACGCCCGAGCAGGAGACGGCGGAGCGGGAAGAACACCTCCACCTCCCTCCCAGTTCGGGAGACCCCACACTCCCCGATGCGAATGGGGCCCTCATCGACGACTTATTCCCCGACATGCTAAAGATAACCTACACCATAAACGCGCGCATAATTCGACGGCGCGAGGCGGACAACAAACCGCTGGTATTATCCTCCAGCGTGAGGAAAGTCCGAGTGATGCCTTACATGGAGGATTCCCCGCCAATAATGCTCGACGGCGGCAGCGACGGAGCAGGAGCAGTACCAGGAGTAGGAGGGCAAAAGTACACACTAAAGAAGGAAAAAGACGTCAAGAAATCCTTCTTCAAGCCTCGCCTCGGTCGCCTTCAAGTTTCGGCCCAACAGCCAACACCCCTCCACCTCCAGGATCCAAACAAAACCTCATGTCCAAGCACAACAGTGGTCCCTATCTCCCTCCTCTTCACGAAAACGTCCGCCTCCCCTCCACCAAAGTTAACGACGGTGACCACAAAACTCCGCACAAACACCACCTTCTCCACCACCCCACTGCCCCACACCCTGCAGCGGGAGACACCGGGACTGGCAGGGACCTACTCCACAACGCAAACCCTCTCCACCCGGTGCATCTCCAATACCCCCTGGACCGGGAACGAAGCGAGGCTGAGCGTACCGGTTTCCCCGCCGAAGGGCGTCATGCTGGTCCCCAGCTTTAGCACCTGCCTCGGGGCGAGGAGTTACGTCCTCGAAATCACGTTCGGGGTGCAGAACTCTTCGTCCGTCACGTTGAGGATCCCACTGCAGGTTTCGTTCCCCGATCCCGCAGGAGCCGGCACTGGAGCGGCGGCGGCGGAGGGCGGGGTGGGGGTGGAAGAGTTCTTCACGCCTAGAAGCGTCGCGCCACCCTCCTCATCGGCGGGGAGAGAACAAGAGGAGGAGGAGAGGGGGGAACAGTTACCGCCGCATATGAGACCGGGAGCGAATCTCCCACCCGAGGGCCTGCCGGCGTACGTCTTTCCGCCCGTGGGTGGGGAAGGTGGGGTCGTTAGGATTCCCTCCCCCGTGGGCATTTCGCCGGGGTGCGGGTAGACGTCAGAGTGATAATTAGTGATTTCCCTTCCCGCTTTTTTTTATCATTGTCTCGCCCCGTTTCCTTTGTCTCGAGTTAGTCTACTCGAGTACTGGGGGGATGGATGGGTGGAACTACGAGGAGTTTAACGAGGCACGGCATATCATTCATTATATCATAGTTCACCAAGTCTTAGCAAAACGTGGCACAATGTAGCCTAGCTCAACTTGTATTTTCAACAATTTAATTACCACGACATATCATACCGTACTGTACCCCCCCCCCCCACCCCGCCATTCATTCATTCACCCTTCCCGGCGTACAGCAAGTACGGTAGTATGAGGTCCCCCTCACATGTCAACACCCAATAAGCTCTCAATTCATCTCTTCTCAAACCAACGGTACGGTATCGTGTACGAGTAGCGAAAAATGAAAAATGAAGAACAAAAACGAAAAAAAAAAAAATGAAAAAAAAAAAAGCTTTAACCACCACCCCCATCCGACCAAAGTCAAAAAAGTAATGAGAATCTAAAAATTCCAAATATTACTTACATGACCAAGACCATCACCACCCATAAACCCCCCCGTCTCACAACAAAACACAAAGAAATCTCAAGCCGTTCATTCTACCAGCCCCTCTGTATCGTTTCAATCATTTCATTCGCTTGCCCAGCCGAATGCTCCCGCAAGAGAAGACAAAGGAAAGGACAGGCACCCAAGATCCAACTCATCTCCAACTAAACGAAAGTGTTTTTTTAGGTTCATTTTACTTTTGATTATGATTTTCTCCGGCAATCCGGACCAGCAAAGAAGAAAGGTTTCGTGAATTCAATTCCCCTCCATTTATCCCTATGAGCTCCAAGACGTGGTCCCAATAGTAACGTAAAAATCAAAAGGGATTTGAAACGAAAAAAAGAGAAAAAGAAACATGAGCGAGTATCAAAGCAAAAAGAAACGGTCATCCATCCGAGCACCATCTAACACATCGTCTTTGGAGCAAGCTAGTGAGAACTTTTTGTTATCCGGGTGACACGTTTACAAATCCCTACAAACTAGTTAGTTTCGGTTCCTCCAATGCTAGCGTCATAGATGCGGTACACATACGTATCATCTTCATCAGGAAGAGGGTGCTGTGCAGCATCCTCCATCTCCCGCTGGTAGGCTGCCAACACCTCTGTATCGACAGTGACCTCAGGGGGAGCCAAAGCTGGGGACGCAACGAACTCAAGAGTCGGGTTCCCAACGAGCTTCCTGGCCAACCACAAGAAAGGCTTTTCAAAGTTGTAGTTCGACTTGGCAGAGATATCGTAGTACTGAAGGTTCTTCTTGCGATGGAAGGTTATGGTCTTGGCTTTAACCTTGCGCTCCTTAACGTCGACCTTGTTTCCGGTAAGAACGATAGGAATATTCTCACAAACACGGACGAGATCACCTATTGGATTTGATACCAGTGTTAGCTCCTATGCCGAATAAGGTAATTATATACCCCGGGGTTGTTGTCACGCACGGTGCCAGTTGGGAACGTTCTTGTAGGTAATTCTAGAAGTGACGTCGAACATGATGATACCGCATTGACCGTTGATGTAGTATCCATCTCTCAGCCCACCAAACTTCTCTTGACCAGCGGTATCCCAAACATCGAACTTGAGTTCACCAAAGTTGGTAAAAAATCCAAGAGGGCTGAGAGGCGAAAGGCGGAAAAGTTAGCCAAAAAAAAAAAAAAAAAAAAAACAATAACGACAAAAACTTGTCGGGATAAACTGCGTAAAAACAAGCTCGGAAAGGTACTCCGTTAAACGGGGAACATACTGGACCTCCACACCGAGAGTGGCGATATATTTTTTTTCGAACTCGCCAGTCAAATGACGCTTAACGAAGGTGGTCTTCACGAAAATACATTAGCAAACCAATACTCTCCAGCAAAAGCTCAAATCTTTTTATCGTGACACAAAGGCATTTCTCAGCCCAAGCTATTGCCATGTGGTCGAAGCGGGAGGAGGAAAAATTCGGAAATATCAGGATGGAAAGTAAAGGAGCAGAAGCAAAGGAGGGGGAGATACCTTTCCGGTGCCACCATCCCCGACGAGAACGAGCTTGAAGGTCGGAACTGGATTGGCCATCACGGTTGTATTTGTCTGAATGTTTGTATGTGGGAGACGCTAGTAAGGAGAGCGATGAAGGAGCCCTTGTGATAACAGGGGAGAGAAGTCAGCAGCTGGAGACAGTACCGCTAAGAGGAAACGGCAGAAGGATGGAGTGGGAAGGCTGTGGCGTTGGCGTTGGCGGGAGGGAAAGGAAAGGGAAGGGAGGGATGATTACCTTTGTATGTGAAAGTTGGGAATTGGAGGTCGAGGTGGATGAACGAGGTGGATGAGGTTTTTGTTTGGGTGAGGGGCAAAAAAAAAAGGCGAAGAGTGAGAGCGAAAAAGAAAGGGGGGGAGAGGGGAAAAAAAGTAGGGCAAGCTGGAGAGAGAAGACAGCAAGACAACCGCGAGAGAGAGAACAGGATGGGTGGCTCTCCTGCAACAGGAAAAAGGTGCTGGCGGGGCGGGCTGGCATGGCAACCAAATCCGATTTCTCGACAGCCAAGCCCTCTCCCCTCTCGCATTGGTCAGCGGGGTCTAAAATAACCCTAACCCGGGCGATCGAGAAGAAAATTAAGGCATGTTGGTGCTTTCCACGATCTTCTATAGTAAGATACCGAAAATTGAACTATCGAGCGAGAGAAACCCGCTCCTCCCTTCCAGGGAAGGGCCCTACCTATCATAACTTATCCGCCACTCTCTAGTCAAGGTTTGCTAATTCGGATCGTTTGCCCTCGCGATGCACCTTACATCCGGACGGATCGTCCGATCCTGATAAAAGTCTCATTCAAAATTCTTTCCTTCAAAGCCACCAAAGCCACTTCCTCTATCAGTCTTATTCCCGCCATGATACAAAACCCGCAAACAAAGTATCTAACTATATAAAATCCCCCTCAATAAGCAAACTGTCTGGGTATCAAAGTTACTAATTACATGAACTTATTCAGGGAATAAAATAATATCCATCTCGGAATCATCCGAGATGCTGTGACTAACACAGTGGAGAAGAAAGAAAAATGAAAGAGCGTCATAACATATTCAAAGAACCAGCATAATCACCTCAACAATAGCACAAAAAAATACAACACCAAACAACGCTCAACTATTTATGCTTATCACCCATAGAGGTTCTTGAGAAATAAAGGAAATTCTTCCGCTGCGGCGGCAGCAATGCCAACATGCAAATCGGAGATACAGAGAGACAGATCAGAAGAGGATCATCGGAGGAGAGGATAGTGTTGGTTTAAAAGCTACCAGAATGTCAGCACAATTCGATAATTTGACATTTGTATCGGGAGTAACATACTGTTCCTTCCAAAAGCCAAAGTTAACTTCTGGTGTTGAAGCTGCTACGCAAGCCTTTCGAATGCCTCTTGCCGCAGCGCTGGGTCCGCAGAAGTATACACCAACGTCTGTCCTCAATGTCCCTTCCAATCCAGCGATGTATGATTGATCCATGATCCCGTCCCTCATTGTCGTGAAGAGCTTGGGGAAATCAGGGCGACCGTATTGTGTTCCGGTCCTGAGCTGCGTCAAGGGATCAACCTCCATTCCGACACTGTTGAGTACAATGTTTTGAGCCGTATCTACATCGAGTCTCTGTGTGAGATACGTGTGGATCCTCAAGAACTCCTTATCCTTAGCGCCGCCCTGCCGTTCTAATGAGGATAGAAGATTCTGAAACCACTCGAACGACGAAATATCACGGCAAATCCAGATGAACTCTACACGACGAAGTCGCAATGGTGTTGAGCCGGGATTGTTACGCTTGTGCCAGATGTTCTTTAGAATGGAGGCCCATGGTGTGACACCAATGCCGGTACCGATAAGTACAGCAATCTCATTATCAAACACCTAACAACGATATGTCAGTATGAAAAGGAAGAGGGGATCAGTGGCCCTGTACGAACATCTTCAGCTGGTGCTCCGTATGGTCCGTCAATCCTCAAAGTAGGCATCTTCATCCCATTTCGCACAGCAACTTCGTATTCACCGTAGGGATCGAGCCCTTCCATTCCCGGTGCATCTGAACCAGCGCCAAGCATCTCACCCAGTGCCTTGGTGAAATCACCAACTTGGCGGATATGGACGGAAATGTATGTATCCGATGGGCAAGAAGTGATAGTAAATGGATGCCACTGGAATCGAGACACAGCTGGGACCTGAAGGAAAAGGTACTGCCCGGACTTGTACTTCATAGATGGTTTGCTGAACTGAATCTCCATTGCTCCATACGGATGCTTGACCACCTTGGTTATTTCCGTCTGCTTCCGTGCTCGGACTTCCCTCCATACTCGCTCAAGGAAGTAAAGGGCAAATGTCCAGAGGGTAAATCGCCAACCCTGGTATCCGATACAATGCTTCCAGAAGATGTTTCCGGCAAAGGGAGAGTATGGCTCAGGCGTGTCACGGACGAAACATCCAACGGCGTGGGTATAGAGGGCCAGGAAAAAGATAAGTGCGAGGTGATGCGTATACCAGAACGCCTCGAAGCACTGCTGTCTAATTTTGTGATGGGCACTAGGTGAATGTGAGAAAAAATCACTCAATCTCCGGGCGAGAGCAAGACTCACGTTGTGTACATCAACATCATGCAGAAAAGCATAACATGCCCCGTGATTCCTCCGGGTTGGGCATAATGAATCTGAAGAGCTGTCACTGGTCGAATCTGGGTCTTTTCGACATTGAAGAAACTATAGAAAAGTGTTAGCAAATGGGCAAATCAAAAATGGATAAAAACCAAGACCAGGCTACCCACTTGACATAATGTGATGTTGTGTGAATGATGGTGAACAGGAGCATGGAATAAGCCGTTTGTCTATGAAGCCACTGACTCTCGTCCAACGGCAGCCACTTGATCTTGGGCCTAACAACCCTCAAGATATTACGGCACATAGGCAACACAATTAATCCACCATCAAAACACAGAACCAATCCAGCACCTCGCGACATCCACACCGAATACTGAAGGGTGTTGAGACCGGCCAGTCTGGGGTCACCGGCCTGCTTCCACCTAAATGAAAATTAGCAAAGCGAGCAGAATGAAAGCCCAACAAACCCACCATCCATAAGCGAACAATCCCCAATGCACGCCCCACCAAAATATCCAAAATAACAATCTTCTCCCCGTCAACTCCCGATGCCACCAGGATTCTTGACCCATTTTCGCTGATTGATTGAGTTATTAATTCTGGGCTCACAAAAAAATTCCGGGGGGCGGAAGCCGGACTTTTTAAGGACAGGCGCCGGGCAGAATCGCTGCTGAAACAGCTATATCAATCGGCGGCTAGACTTGGGAGCTATTTAATTGCAGTCGGCAATTAGGTCGGCCAGCGACGAGCACAATAAAAGATAACGCTCAAGAAATGAAGTCGAGCTCGTACTATTGAAACGGAGCAAAAGCAGAGCGAGATATTAGAAAACTACCAAAATAGTAGAGATATGAATAATAACGAAGGTGCAGTAGTGGTAAAGTGAAAAGCCCCCGTACTCTGACGAAACCAGCGTTGACCACCAAGGAAGAAAGAGAAAGAGTGGTGGGAAGAGAGGGAAAGGGAGGAGGAAGGAGGGGAGGGGGAGTGAGAAGAGGTGAAAGTAAGAAGGCGAAGGAGACCAAGAGGAGGGTAGGATATCTATGATAATTTGGAATGGTCAGAAAAGCTTGGTAGGTGGGACCAGCCTTCTCTCCCCCTTGACAGGCCTAAATGGCAACACAGAAGATCAAGTTTATGCAGGCGCCGGTAACCGATGGAGCTATGTTAGGATTGACCACGGGGTAGAAGCACGGGTCCAAACGCCGGTAAGGAGAATACTGTAAAACCAAAAGGGACGGCAAGGTGATGAGAAAGGGAAGGAGGAGGCTTTCCCTGACGGAAGTGATGTTCGATTCTGAAGCTTGACCCGCCACAGAATGTAACCGGGAAACACGATGACAGGGTCGAAGGAAAAGGGTTTCTAACACGAAGGAGAAAGAGAGGGGAATGGCACGGGCAACAAGCTCACTGTTTAAGGGTCAGGAGTTCCAGTGCTGTCATCGTCGTCTTCAGGAAGGAGTACGAGTGTAGAAGGAGTGTCAGGGCAGAAGGAGAAGGGGAGGGAGGAGCCATGATGATATTCTTCCCCGGGGTGGGTTTTGGAGAAGACTGGCTGATACTGCGAGTGAAACATTTACAGGGGTCGGTTGGGAGGGGAGGGGATTTGACTGTGTGCTCTAAAAAAGTCCTGGGAAGGGGCCGGATGGATGGGGACGGTGATTGGGGGTGGGGGGGGTGAGGGGTGGGAATAGTGGACCACAGAGGAAAGAGGATGAGCTGCAAGTTTACCGGGTCAGACTAGATACGGCAGAGTGGTGAGTGATGTAGGATACGGTTAGAGTACGGTATGTGCGAGTACGGTTCCCGGGATACTACCCAGAGGAAGCCACACTCTCATACGGAATGTTGCCATATTATTCTAGTCTTCTTCCCTCTCTCGTTCCTCAGCCTGCCAGGCCACACAATATGATATGATACCAACACGAGCATACCAGTATGATAAAGGAAGTTTTTTTTTACCCACCCCCCCAGGCACCTAGATGCCGCGGTTTGTTTCTAAGAAAAAGTCGACTCGACTCGCTTGTGCGCAGCCGGCCCTGATGGTTGGCCGAGCACCGTCGAGTCCAGCAATACCAAGAAAGTGAAAAAAACGAAGCAAGGTACCGGTTCAGTGCCGGCATGCCGCCGAGCACGCCAACCATCCAGTCCAGACGGAGCGCACAGGATCCGTCAAACGGCAAGCAAGCACACCATTTCGTGCGAAAGTGCGGATAACCGACAAGGGGGCCCCAGAGTTGCACTCTGCTTGATCAACCCCAACTCCGAGATTGACACCCTCGCTCTCGAGCCTAGTGTGATAGGCATCCTCACCACACACCCAAGAAGGTTACCATTAGTCTACCGGTTACCGAGGATTGTGCAACACGGCTGTGGGGAGCCGGCCCAAATCTACTTTATCCTGACCACTCTGCTCGCACTGTGCTCGAGTACCCTCGCCATACTACAGTATCGGTAGTATAATACTTAACTTACCTTCTCACAGTGCTCGTACAAGTGCTCCAGCAGTCGAGTGCTGTGCGAATAAAGTACGCCATCCTGCATCTCGTATTCACCCATACCCCGGCCCTGTAAACGTTCCCCGGCTTTGACGATCGTAAAGCCTAGCTTCCAGGTTCCCCTCTTGCAGCCGAACCACAGTTGCCCATCTGCTGCAATCGGAGCCAACCGTTCCCAACGAACACAGTAATTTTGCGATAGTCATCTACCCAAGCGGTACAAGTACCCTTCTATTCTTGACTTCTGTTGTGCCATGCTGCGGTTCTCGACTGGACGAACCCCTCCCCACCTCTTCCCCCGATTCCCGCCCATTCATCACACCAATCATGCCAATACTAATAATACCAAGAACCAACAGGCACACCCAGGCCCCGTATAGCAGACGTGATACCGATATCATGCGGTAGCTTTTGGAGCCCCTCCAGCCGATAAGAGTGGAGGAGTATCAGTAATCTGTAATCAATCACCACCAAAGTCCCGCCTAGCATTTCTATCATAAATTCTTGTTCTGAGATTCCTGGTGCTGGTGTTGGTGCAGTGCGGTGCGGTGTCGGTACAGTAACCTAGGGTAGACTGAGGCCGGACTTGTCAATGAGATGAGGGAGAACTCCGAGTCAAGCACATGCACTCAAGTACCCGTGTTGTGCCGGTACCTCCCACCTCTGCCTGTAAGCGCCCGGAAAACAAGTACCAGTTCTGTACTCGTATCTTTTGAGGCAAGGCAATTTCACCCCTCACGTGCCCAACATCTGCAAGTAAGCACCCCTGTCCGGAGAGATTTGAGGCGCTAAACGCCATCACCGCCACTGACGAGGAGGAGAAAAGGGGAGGAGGTGGCTGGTAACAGGGTCAATTCCTGCCTTGCTGAGCACTCAAGCCCCACACAACAACCCTTTCCCCTCATGATACGGTGAACGTCTCAAGAATCTCAACCTCTCGCTGCGCATTGCTCCCTAATGGCAGGCAAAACGTCCGTCTCAAGATATCAAAGGGCGCTCCTGTGCCAAACTCTTTACACCACCGCATTCATGTCCACCAGGCCTGAAGTTGCTCGTGGCACACAAACGGGTGAGAATTTTTGGCATACAAGGCGACGATAAGTGATAGTAATACTCGAGTACCAATACTGGGCACCGGAGTGGCTGAGTGCTGCTACCGTCGCCGTTTCCAGTGCCCTTATCATGAATGATGTGGGGGTGGGTGCAGGAATTGATGGTATGGAGTGTCGGGGGTGCCGAGAGAGCAGACCCATGGGAGGGAGTCCACGGCACTCGCACCCGAGTATGGTTCTCGTGCACCTGCTCCAAACGGATCTCGATGGTGAAGGAGTGTTCATCGCTGTGGCCAACCCCTGCCGTTGTACAAGTACAGTAACTTAAGCAAAAGTCCAACAGGCGAAAGTGCGGATGGATCCCTGCTGAGCCAATAGTCCATACCGTATCTCTCGGCCTCTCCTCCCGGATGTGACGAATTTAGACCCTATTCTCCCTCCATCCAATCGACAGCGCGGACCGGGGATGAGAGGAGAGGGGAAAGAAGCCATCAACACGATGCCTCGATCCTATTCGTCGGCAGCCACAGCCTTCTAAAATAAACCTCGATTACTCGAGCACAGGATTCCACAGTTCACCCCATCGAGAGGTAGAAATCTGGAGGCGAGGCGGTAGTGCGATGCGGTTGGTGGAGGGAAATGTGAGCTGCACACCGACAATCCCAACATGGCACATGGACCACACCAGTCGCATCCCTCCCCTCAAGTTCAGGCACGGCCAAAAGCGGGAGAGGGTGTTGAGTGATTTACAGGTACACATCAAATTTGGCTTGGAGTTCTCGATATCCTTGCCTACCCGGGCTAAGCGAGGAAGGACAGGAAGGACAGAAATGTGGGAGAACGGCAGTGCGAGTGAGTGGGTGGTGTGAAACCCATGCAGTTTTACCGTTATAGCATCAGACGCCCTTCCGTTTTAGGATCCATGAGCAGCGTTATGCAAGCCTTCCCACGAGGGTTCTCCTCGTTTTGGACCACTCAACCCCTGCAATCAGAGTGCGAGTGACCGGTGGAGACGGATCCACTTTGAAGCCTTTTTCTATTCCCATCGCCCACCTCTGGTTGTCGAGGAAGTCGGATGTCCTTGCCTCTTCATTCCACTCCCAACCCATTTCGTGTGTGCTAACTTTGCATCCTTCACTTCTTTTCCACCCCACCTATTTTGGTACTCGTACCTTCTCTTCTCCAACTGCAGGCCTTTTTTTATTCCTTTATTTTCTCTCTTTTTTTTTTCTTTTCCCTTTCTTTCTCTTCCTCTTGATATTTTATTTTATTTTATTTTATTTTTCACACTTCCCGCCATTCTGTTCAATTCTCGTTGCGTCTCTGGTATTCTCATCTCCCCTCTTTTTCGTTTGCTCGCGCTAACGCTAACGAGCGATTGGCCTGTTGCTGGTTGTCTCTGCCAGCCACCCACACCCATCCAACCAACATATCGCATCTCGGTAGTTCTAATTTCGTACTCCCCCGCTTGCCTCAATCTGCGGGCTTTTGCCTTATCCGTCACGCACACGCGCATCTCATCTGCGAACAGCCAATCACGTCAAAGCTGCTGGTACCTTGCTTTTTGCACGCTTGAGGTGTGCGTCCTTTATATATCCACGATACCTCTGTTTCCGTGCCTGGCGCACCTATTCTTCCGGTATTGCCTCCCCGCCTTTAAACCCGCATCCTCTCTTCAAGAAAGAAATCGGACTCTTTCTTTGAATTCCCTACGGTCCACCCTGCTCCGCCAAACCGTACGGCTAATTTCCATAAGACGAAGTTGATCGACCACTCTGCCGTACTGGTACGGTAGCCTAAATATTTTAAGAGAGGGACGCTAGCTCGCCACTTTTTCCGCCGAAAGCCTAGCACACACACGTACCGAAGAAACCACAAATATCTCTCAGAAACCTTCACAAAAAAGAAAGAAAAAAGGACGAAAAAAAGAGAAGGAACTTGAGCAAAATGGGGAAGCTCATCAAGAACCACTTGGCTCGCCTCATCATCCTCACAGCGGCGACGTACCAGATCATGGCTGGCCTCCACGGCTACTTCTGGCCCAAGATCTTCTGGGATACGTGGACCAAGTGAGTTGCTGCTCAGCACATTGTTTCCCCTCAGTGGAGAGCACGAACTAACAAACATCCTCTCCTTCAGGTCCCTTGACGGTGCCGTCAAGCCCGTCCCCGCCCTTCAAACCCTCAACCTGTTGATGGGTATACTCGGCGTCTGCTGGGAATATCCCCTCCCGTTTCTCGTCCCCAGCACCGCCTTCCACCGAAGTATCGCTGCGAGGCTCACCATCTACCCTCTCAGCGTCCTCTGCGCCGCGCTCCTGTACCAGGGCACCAACGCAGCGATCTACTACATCGTCGGAATCCTCATCTACTTCTGGGCCTACAGTGATGGTGAGATTGTCTGCATGCCGTGGAAAGTTCCCGAACGCCCAAGACCTGCCAATGGACCCGCCAAGGTATAAGAAGAGAAGGTTTTGAGAAAGGATCAAATCCGAATTTGTACAACATTTGATTTCGTTTCTTGCACAAAATTGCTTATCCAATACCGTGAATTTTTAAACTTATTCTCTCTTCTTCAAACCGGTCCGGCGGTCGGAGCGTCAACACTTATTTTATTTTTTTCTTATGGGAACCTTCACTTTTTCACTGTGATATCGATCATGCATGGCATAGCATAGCGTATGGGGCATTTAGGGGTGAGGTGGACGATAACGGGGCAATCATTCCTTTCATTTTTATCTTCTGCCATTTTCCTTTTCTACTCATTTCCTTAGCGTTTTTTCAACTTACCCCTCCCCACTTGAGGTCGCTTAACGAACTGGATTATGGATGTTTTTTTATTTCCAGTCTTGGCCTCGGAAGGCGAGGGGTTTTCCTCAAGCTTACTGGTATCCTTACCTGCACACAGCGTTTCACTATTTCTTCCCTTTTCACGTTATTTGCACGAGATTTTCTGTTGGATCTTGTATCTTTTTTTATGCCTTTCCTGCCGGTCTCTTATTACTCTTGGCTCCTGCCTACTATCTTCTTCTCCTGTCAGAGGCCTAAACAGTCTCAAACATCCTCCCATGTATATACTGCCCCTCCTCCCCTACCACTGTTACGACAACTACAACCAGTCCTTGCCCATTCACTAATACCCCCACACATTCATTTGAAAGAGGTATCATAATACCTATATCTATACCTTCTCCAACGGCAGATGGATTTTTTTTTTGCTTGTTCATTTTTTTTCTTTTTCTTCTTTCGTGCTTTCCCCCTTTTACTATAGCTTCTGTGTATATATTCTCTCTCTAGATACCGGTTTTGATCATATATACTTCTTGTACCTAATTACTTTTTAACATATTTTTTTATCATGATATCATGCTTGGATAGTACCAGTAGTTTTTCAAACAACTAACGGGTTTAGGGGATGAGTTAAACCAACCCAAGGAACAAGCTCCTTGCTTCCGCTGTGCTACGGCGAGCGGGATGGAGTGAGACGTGACATGCAACGCATCAAACATCCAAAGCATCAAAACTCCCCTCCTCCTCCTCCTGCCGCCCCTGTCGTCGCACCGCAACCGCGAAGCGCGCACTGATACTCTACCTCTTGCCACATCCACGAGCACGAGCACTGCACCGTACCGCACCAGTCCGTTGAAACGTCTTGACTTGCTAGTACGGTACCGTAGGGCATACCAGTACCGTACCGTACTCGACACGCCCCACCGCTCTCATACAAGTACTATACATCTCCGGATCAAGCCACGCATAAACCCACCCTGATCGATTTCGACACCCACGCTTTGACCATCCATCTGCACACTAAAGGGGGCTACCGTACTATTCTCCTGACAAGTAACGTAACGTACCGTACGGTTACCGCTATGGTGCCATACGGGTACAGTAGCAAGTCTTGGCATCCAGCCCAAATACCGTACGTATCATATCATATTATATCATACATAGTCATGCAGTCCCACCAACTTATTGGGTGTTAGATGATGCCAAGAGTGACGGAAATGGTTAGCTGGTTGTGGTGCGCTAATCAGTTCTTTCTATTCGCTCTGTTTCCCCCTTTCCCTAGGCTATGATACAATACAAATACGGTGTGGTAGTTTGGTCCGATTGGGCTATTGTACAGGTATGATGAATACCTGTAGTAAATAGGGGATTGGCGAGCGCGCGGTTGCTCCAGCCACGGTTGGAATAGAATGGAATGGTGGCGGGCGGGCGGTTGTGGCTTGGCTTGGCTTGTTCCGGTTTGTCTTTTCTTGTAACTTGTTTGGGTATATGCTGTACTAATAGTACAAGTACTGTACCAGGTACTGTACCCGCGGGCGGTTGGGTTGGGCCGGGCTGGGCTGGGCTGGGTGGGATGTACTAATTTGGTTAGTACTGTACATCAGCACGGTACGGTACTGTACTAGTACAATACAAGTATGGATACTCGAGTATGGTGGTGAGCCTTAACTTGACTACCGTACTAGTACAGTACGATACTTGTGTGGCTGAGCGAAGTGTGTTTGGTATTTTGCACCCTACGCTACAGTATCATACAAGGACTTTTTTCTTTTCTTTTCTTTTTACCGGGATCTTTCGTTTCCCCTGCCACCATTCTCAAGGGCGCAGTACTGTACAGTACTCGTACAGTACAGTACTAGTATCATACTACAGTAGTATCATACGTACAATAACCCATCACCAGGGTGGGGGGGGGGGTATAACAAAGACGGCACAACTAAAACTACAAATGCGTTTTACTATGCTTGTAATATTCCATTATAGTAAGATCGTATGTAACCGGGTTTTTGAATCCATCATGATACCGTTACCAGTATCATCCCGAGGCAATGTTACAGTGGGTGTTTCGTGATGTCATCCCATCCTTCCTCCTCCCGGTACAGTACTGTACTCGTACAAGTACGGTAGCCGTGTGGTAAGGGGTCGGTGAGCAGGCATGGTATCATACAGCACAGTATCATACTACTTCTATAAGTAAGTAAGTAAGGGATTGAGAAGCCTAGTTCAGAGACGGGAGGGAGGGGGTTTCTACCAGGACTATGGCATAAAAGGCCGGATTTGGAAAATGTACTCGTGGGTGTTGTTCACTAGCGCATGATTGTGGTTAGTGGGTGCGGTGTGTTCGGAACCGCCCGCCCGGGCGAAGGGGGTATCATAGGATTATCGCAACGAGTTCCTTACCGTATGCCTTACTTTTCAGCCGCTTTCTGGTACTGGTATGAGTGTACTGTGCTCGGCTTGCTTGCTTGTTGGGTTGGGTTGGTGGTAGTAAGTGTCGTTTGGTTTAAACTTGGCGGTATCATCATAGCTGGAGGATGGCCGGGGGCGGGGGGCTAAGTAGGCGCTCTTGTATTTAGGGAGGAAACATGTTTCGTCTGTCATTGGTGTTGGCCTTTTTTTTAGTGAGTAGATTTGGGATGGATTTGTAGGTATTGGTTGGTTACGGTTAGGCTTTGGTTTGTTGTCCTAAAGTTAGACTACAATCGGTGGCTTGTTATCGTACTGTTTGATACTGGACATACAGTGTGATGCTTAGGTTAGGTATGTGGCCCCCCCCCCCCAGCCCATTCGTTACAAAATTTCCATTCGGAATTACAATACACCCTCCTTCCAGAATCAAGAATGTGCGGATTCGGTATGGAATAGAGTGATAATCCGTGAATCTAAAGTTGCGATCGATAGAACGGGATGCTGATGAGGCCTGACCCCCCCCGCTTGGTGGATCTGGTCTACTTCTACCCATGACCGCTTTCCGTGATTTGAAAAAGTTGGGAGGGAGGGAGGGTTTTGGGAAGAGAGTCGACCTTCCTGGACTTATTGTGCGGGCGGTTCGCGCACGTAAATTTCTGTATATCACCGTGCCTGCCTGCTTGCTTGGGGGAAGGAAGATGGTGAGCTTTGTGGTAAACTTCAAAAGGTGCTGAAGTGCGCTTTGGAGTTCGAATTTCGGGTAGAAGTGTTTACTGGGATTTGTGGAATGTACTGGTACCCTATGGTGGAGGGGTCTTCCCGTCCGCGTACCTTTCCACGCGGCGCAAAGAGACTTCAAGGGCTCCTGGCTGTTCAAGTTTCTAATATGATACGACCGTATCCCGAAGCTTCTCTTAGTACTGGCCAAGAAAGAACTGGGAAGACATCGGATATTACGTAATTATTGAGTATCGGGATTCACAAGTCCTTCGATATCGGGTACAGTACTGCACTCGAGTGACTCGACTTGGACGTCAGGTTTTCCGGAAGAAAATTGCGTCAGAAGTTCCCGATTGGAATACTGTATCTCTATCATGAGTCTGCACAGCCTGTAGTTAGGGATACTGTGAAGGAGAACCTCTATCCACCCAATCAGAATCCGCTTCATTCTCGATTTTCGAACCCTTGTTGACTCTCTCAGGCCATTTAACGTTACGAAAAAACATCCCTAACCTTGTGCTCTCCGCCGGAATAGTACTAGTACTCACTCGCGTTGCCAAGAATACCTCCGTCAGCCGATATTCTGCGGGGGATCCTCAGCAAACCCTTAGCTTGGGGAGGTACCGTATTCTTGGCGAAGATGGGTGAGTATCGTGCTCGCACAGTTGTCCGGAATCCTGGCCCTACCGTGCTGTGCGAGTACTGCACACTCATCACGTGGGTCCGGTAATCATTTCATTCTTCTCGCTGCGGCATGCACAGTACGTACGTACGAGTACATGTTACTGTCGGCAACCGTTACATATGTACAAGTACCGCTCGTTCGCCCTCTCCAATTGATGGATTGGCTCTGCGTTGCGCTCCCTGATTGCCCGGGTCCGTTTTAGCGTCGGTGCATGCTTTTTCTGGGATGGTGGGCCTAAAAGGAACATTGAGTGGGGATAGACTACCGGTACCGGTACTCGAGTACAGTACATTGCTGGGGAAGGTTGCTCGTTCGGTTACTGGCATTTCTCGTTGTCTGTTTGGGTATCGTACGCAACTTTTCCGTTGGGATGCGGAAGATGGATGGCCTAGCGGTTCAGGGCTTGCTGAGGAACTCTCGCCATTGTCTCTGCTCAAATAGACCACCGACACGAGCAGATCCTGGGTTGAGGAGCCTCGTCCGTTACCGTTCGGGGGGGAGGGGAACCACCCATCTTGTACTAGTACTTGTTGCCGTCGGTTCTCGGCTTGTGCTACTTTGCGCGGTGGGCAGTGGGCTACCGGTACGGGAGGCTGGGGTTGATGTCGCCATTCTTGTGATATTGGCACAGTTACTGTACAGTGCGGTACTTGTACTGCCTTGGTGTGGGGAAGAAACCTTGAGCCATATCCATCTGCTTTGCACAAGTACCTGTACCAGTACTCCTACAGCACACGATAGAAAGCTAAAGGACGGAACTGTCGAGTGGGAAGTCTTGGCATCACCCATTTCCACCAAAGTACCATCCAACTTCACGGACCGGATGAACGTGTTTTTAAGGAGCGAACAATCGGGATGATTCCTACTGATACCAGGAGCTCTCCACGGAATTTTATAGGGTTGCTTTTTTGTGCTTGTAATCTGCGTTGGTCAAAAGACACTAGACTACCAATATAAGACAACTGGTGTTGCACTCGAGCACGAGTATGATACTTGTATGGATGTACCGGTACCTCTTGTATGGGACTCTCATGGAAGGTTGGGGGCAAGTTACCTCCTTCCTAGCAGACATCCCCCCCTTGACGAGAATTTTTTTTTAACACGGTATAATTTTTTTCACGGAAAGATAAATTCCTATGGCTTTCCTACGAGCACTCTGGTTTAATCACTAATTTATTTTTGTTTGCACCGGTAGCAATCGATAGATGCCTATGGTACCACTCACTCACTACCTTTGTCGTGCTTGTTGTGCTGAACAATGTCACCTCTTTACTTGACCGTAAATCCAATTACCGCTGCACAGGGAGTTTTTTTTGTCGCGGATTGTTCTAGAAGAAGAGATATCATACTATTTTTTTTTCTTTTCATTTTTTCATGGATACAAAGGGATAAATGTCTTCCTTACCGTGTTATAGTCGCAGAATCTACATGTATTAGAAGGTTATTCCACGATGAATGAAGAGGGATTTTCCGAAAAGTGGCAAAGGCGGGTGTGGCTGTGCTTCCTCGCTTGCTCGCATTCCAGGACCTTCCTCCTCTTTCATGTTGCACCCCCCACCCTAGCCATAGAAGGTACTCGTAGAGCAACTGCTTGGGCAAACCCTGCTAGCGAGCGTCATTCAACAGGTCAACCAACTCGCAACCGCCCCTCCCCACCCCCCGACGTCAGCCTCTTCCCATCATCCCCATCCAACTTGATCCCTCATCGACCGTCTCCACTCTCCATCCCCTTTTCTCCCCGCCCTGGAACATAGTCCAAGCCCTGGCCTGATTTCCCCGCCCACAACCCCTTCAAACCTTCCTCGCCGCAAGCTCTGCGCTCCGCTTCCATCATCGCAGCTTGATTACAGGTAAAAATGTCCTCCAGTGAACAGTCCGCACAGGGGCCATCCTCTTCCTCTGAATCCTCCACTCCTATCACATTCTCCGTCAAATCCTCAAACGACACCAAGTATACCGTTTCGCTGGCTCCGACAACCTCCGTTGCCGACCTGAAGACGAAGCTTGCCGAGCTGTCTGATATCGCTGCGGACAGGCAGAGACTCATCTACTCGGGGCGCGTGATGAGGGATGAGGAGACACTGGCCTTTTACAAATTACAATCTGGCCATACCATCCACATGGTCAAGGGAGCCGCCTCTAACACCGCGAGGGGTGGGGCCTCGAGTAGTGGCCCCACCACCGGCGGTTCAGACGCGAGGCCGACTGTGCCCACCAATCTCGCTGCAGGGACAGGGAATAACCCGCTTGCTGGCCTGACTGGTGCTAGATACGCGGGACATGTTCAGTTGCCTAATGCAGATATGTTTGGTCCCGACGGAGGGGTAAGTCATTGCCCCAGCGCCACATCACTTATCAGCCTTCCCCGGCTTCGAAAATCTTATTGGTCGGCTGATCTAACATTTCCACAACTGTCTGCTGTAGATGGGCCCACCACCGGATGCGGAGCAGCTTGCCCAGGCGATGAACAATCCCCAATTTCAGTCCACCATGAATGAGCTCCTGTCTAACCCTCAGATAATGGACTATATCTTTGCCTCGAACCCTATGCTCTCACAACTTGGGCCGGAGGTTAGACAGATGATGCAGTCAGACTTGTTCCGTCAATTGATGTCGAACCCACAAGTGCTCCGCTCAATGTCTCAAATGGGTGGCAGCCTTGGTCGTGGCTTCGGGATGGGTGGTGCGGCCGCTTCTTTCCCGGAGCCTGGGAGGACTGATACTACCCCAGCCTCTGATTCACCAGCAGGGTCCACACCATCCGGGTCCACCCCTAATCCCGCGGCAGCCGGCACGCCACCCCCGCTGAATCCCCTTTTGCCCGGCGCAGCTGGAGCCAATCCGTTTGCTGCACTCTTCGGTGGACAGCCGCCTCGCGCGGGTGTGCCAGGTGGGTTATACCAACTGCCCTGTAGGCCCAATAGTGGGGTCAATGCTAACATGGCAAGGGTCAGGGGCTTCATCAAGTCAAACGCCAGGCCAAACACCGGGTCAAGTGCCCGGTCAGCTACCAGGTGGCCTGGATCCAAACATGATAAACTCCATCCTGGGAGCAATGGGCGGTGGGCAACCAAGCGGCCCCACCGGTGACCCCGCCAGTGGAGCACCTAATCAACCTCTCCCACCCAATCACCCCCTCGCTGGCAACAACAACCCCCTTGCAACCCTCCTCGGTGCCAACGGGAACTTGGGCACTGCGGGAGCGCTGCGGACCGCTCAAACTCAAGCGGCAGCGCCCCCGGTTGATAATAGGCCTCCAGAGGAGAGGTACGAAGAGCAACTGCGACAGCTCAATGACATGGGCTTCTACGATTTTGACAGGAATGTTGCTGCGCTGCGTCGGAGTGGCGGAAGTGTCCAGGGCGCGATTAATGCGTTGTTGGGCGGGTAGACTGGGCATGTCAAGGGCTATGGTGGACAAATGTGGGAGGGGGGGCTGGGTGGTAGCTTTGCAGCTATTCCTTTTTGTATCACGTTCTCGGCATCCTCTCCTTGGTTGCGGACTGGGTCCAGTGTGATAACTATCAGGAAATGGAGTCCTTTTTTCGGGTTTCTCTTTTTTCTTTTTTCTTTTTTCTCTCCCTTCCTTCCTCTCGCCATTTGTGCTCTTTCCAGATCTTTCTCCATTTGTGTGCTTGGTGTTTTTTTCTCCTTCTCATTATATCTCATCAAATCGTGATTGTTTTTCCCCACCATCTTTTCTTCCCTCCCCTCCCCTTCCCTCCACCTCCTTGCTCGTTCTCTATTCATCAAGGGTAGTAATTGAAGGCTAGGTTTTCCCATCTTCGAAATTCCCCACAACTTTCTGGGGCTGATCGTAGTACTGCAGGGGACGGCCGGGTGGATGAATTGCCGAGGGTATGTGTGATTTCGAGTGATCCGGCGTGAGAATCTCGGAGAATGAGGCAACAAAATTTTCATCGTTAATGTTTGTGGATAATGTGGGGATAAGGATGACCACCTATTATCGGCTGCTTCCTAGGGATAACTTTCTTTTGCTCTTTATATTTGGGGGGCGAATAGGATTTGACGATGGAATTGACATTGCTAGGGTTGCTGATTTCGTGGATGATGGAAATAGGCGGAAAGACGTGTCATGGAAGTTTATTTGCTATAGGCATTTGGCGTTCTAGGTTCCGTGGCCCGGTGGGGCGGAGGCTATCAGAGGAAGAGATTTCTCGGAGCAGTGCTAGGGCAAGATAGCGGAGCGGCCGGGATGAGTTGGTATCTCCTTTGGGTTGCATTAGGTCTTTCGGGCTTTGCTTTGCGGTTCCCCGAGGGCCCTTTGATGATTTGTCAATCAGTCTATGCATAATTGAATCTAGTGCTCTTTGCTCTTTGTGATTAGAGTGAGATTTGACCGTTGCGTATAATACATTCTTCTATCATACCTGTTCCTCCTGAGTAGCCACACCAGCCCGCATTCATCATTTCCCAGCACGGTACAGGCGGGCGACGTGCACTATACAGGAAACCCCTCAAAGCAGAGCCATTATCCCCCGCAGCACCGACAGCACCAGGAACGAACCAGCCAGCCAAATGGGATCTATGTATACATAAAATCGGCAGAAGGAACCCCCCATGAATAGTACCAGCACGTGAATCCAACCCCCGTTACCAACCGTCTACAAGAAATCGCCTCACTGAATGGTGATTAGCAGGTCAAGCACAGTCTACCGCACAATACAATACAGCAAAGTATAAACAGAACACACGCTCTAGCCATCGTACAGTACCATACCCCCGGACCATCGTATTCAACACAAGAAAGCATGGGCAGAAATTTTCCACAGCAGATCTAAAAAGGAAAAGGAAAAGGAAAAAAAAAACATTCCAGAATGCATCCGACATTATTGGGTTATTAATTTTAAATAGATGTAGTATTGTTTGGCGTGTGCTTGCGTGGAGGAAGAGGAGGGATACAAAATTCTTACTCCTGGAATATACAATATACAATTACAATTCCATTATAATTATCATACATGTACAATACAATTACAAAACACTCTAGTATGAGGTTTAGGAAATCGCTGGTTATGGGCTGTACTATATATATTCATATTCATAGCTTCTCCCATTTCTCCCATCCATCCATCCATCCATCCTGCCTGCAAAAAAAAAAAAACAGACCTGAAGATTTTTCTCCCCTTGTCGAAATGACGGTTTTATTATTTATTCATTGCTATTTTGTTATGGCACCGTTACCAAAAGTAAGTAAGTAAGTAGGGGAAGGAGGAGGAGGTGTAAAGTAAAGTAAAGTAAAGTATGATACGATGATTGCGCAGTGACACCGGTAAGTATTGCCAATACAAGTCCGAACCCCGGACCAGATAGCGCACTTCCACCCGCCCCGACCCAGGCACGATTTTGTAGCCATTCTTCTCAAGGACGGTCCTGACGAGTAACTTCAAGAAGGTTAAGAATTGGCGGGTGTATTGACCACAAATAGATAGGAGTTCAGGGAAGACTCGAGAGTTGTTGGAAGTCTGGTGGTTCTGTTGGTGGCTTCTGGCTAGATCTGTCTGCGCAAACTCTCTACTATTCAATCGCTGGTGATTATACGGTATGCTTCTGTTGGCCGGGGCCCGGCGGGTGGGTTGCATAATCCCGCGCGAAGAAGGGGTGTGTTTAGTTGATTCGTATGGTGCGGTATATCATACCGGTCTTGAACGAACAAAAACATCCATCTGTCTAATTTGGATGATCTACGATACCAGGCCGCGCACTCGTGCGTGTGTTGGCGTATGCTACACTGCTGTAGCAAGAGGACGTGGGAAAACACCAAGTTAGACCGTATGACCCCCTCCAGAAGCACATGGCTCTTGCGGATAACATCGTGCCATGCGCCACATATTATAGGCGGTCATAAGGCGTCACTCGCGAGAAATTGTTGGGTGCGTGCCGGTCGGATTCAACTAGTGTCGTGGTGGCTCGTGGTATTCGGGAGAGAGCGGGGTCGGCCGTTGGCAGGTCTGGCTGGCTAGCTTTGCGTACTGGTCGGAGTGCTTCTGTGTTTGGTGTTTCCTTCGATTCGTGCACGTGAGGGTGAAGGAAGGAGGGAATGGGGGGGGGAGGGATGAGGGAGCGGGTTGGTGTGCTGTGGTAGATTCTTGTCACGCTATTGTGGACCACGAAGAGTAATATCCCGTTGGGATGGAAAGAAGGGATGGAGGGTGCTTGCACAGGACGAATAGAACCCCCACAATGAAAGCATCACCATACTACCACAGAGCAGCCACAGACTTATTAACACCACAAGCTGACTTCAAATCTAAACAGCACACAAAACTACCAAACCCCTGAGTACATTATTTCATTCCTGTACCCCCCCCCCCTAATATCCCCACAGCCGCATGCCAGAATAATAATAATACACACCCAACCAAACCCATTAAAAAATGGATCCCGCTATCAGGGAAGGGGAAAAGCAAGATTCCAGCGCCATACTAACCCCCAATCGCAAAGATGAAGATGATGAAGAAAGAAAAGGCTCGATTTGGGGATCGTAATGGCGATCGAGTCGAGAAAGAAAAAAGCCCCAAAACCCGTGACAAAAGGGAGAAATACGACAGTAGTAAAGGCTTACACGTAAGAGAAAGGAAGGAATAAGAAAAAAAGAGCAACGCCAAGCAATGCTACTCCTTGAGGAAGCAGGAGAAAAGAGACAAGGATATAAAGGATGAAGGAAAGGAGGGTTAACAATGCTGCTATTGATGCTGCGTTAAAGGGTATTTATGTATGAAAATGAAGAACGAAACGGGGAAAAAAAAAAAAAGAAGAGAATCAATCATCAAGGCAGATAATCTCCACGTTGCCATTCACCTTCCCACCGTCCTTCTTTTCTTCCTCCTTCCCGACCGGTTCCCAGCTTCCATCCCGCTTGACCAAAATGTTCTGCACGTCGGTAGAGCCTGAAAGTAGGAGCTCTTGCAATACAGACGCCAGGAAGTCGTCCACCACCAACTCTGTTGGACGGGCATCCCCACGACATAACGGGCACCGCCAGGAATCGGCATAGGGTGGTTCATGATCTTTACGACGAGGCCGAGTTTCGAGATAGTTCCGGAGATCGAAGCATTCCAGATGCTTGCATGTCACGCCACGAACGGGAGTGGTGAGGAGAGTGAAGCTGAGTGGGCAACGGACACCCAGGGAGACACGGTCGCTTTCAACGAGTACCATATCGTCGGTATCCGAAGCACCGGAAAGGCGGCCGAGGATCAAGGATTTTGCGTTCGAAAGGGGGATGTGCTTGATATCCTTTATTATCGATTCCTCACTAAGGCATTCGTAGATCTCGACTGCCATGACAAAGGTTGGGGAGTCTCGCTGCTTCCCCGGGGACAGACAGACGACCTTTAGCTCGTTGTTGCCAGCTTGGACGCAGCTTGTTATATCCGCTGGTAGATCCTTCCCCCAGGCGATTTTGCGGCGTACTTCAACCACTTGCTTATTGACTTCTATGAAGATGTGGGCAGGCCAAGTGGTTTCTTGGACCGCCCACTCATCGCCTGTTTTCGGGGCTCGCGAAGAGTCCGTAACTCTGACTGATCTCAGTCTGTATATCAAGGAGCCAGGCCGAACCATGGGCCGAGTAGTTTGCTCACCGGGCTTCGTGCTGGCTCGCTTCTTGGAAAGTTTGGATTCCTCCTCCGCATCCATAGTCCAATGGAACGTTTGAGATGTCTTCTGAGAATTCAGGGTAATATCCTTAAGTGCAAACTGCGTCAAACTAATGTAGAGCGGCAACTTTCCAGGTAGGGTAGCCGAAGACAGCTGTGGCGAGAAAGGTGGAGTAGCCAAATGAGATTGAAGCACGTTCTGGGGAAGATTCCCATGAGAGCGTTGAGATGAAGGCAAAGGAGGAAATGTCGAAGGGAATAATATTGAGGGAGATGGCATCGCAAGAGAATCTAGGTTAAAAGGGGGATCCGTAAATAGTCCATTCCATTCGCCTGCTGGAATATTGGGATGTGCATTCTGAGACTGGCGTTGATCTTGCACAACCTGCGCAGCAATTCGAAGCATATTCTGTTGTGGTTGCTGTTGCTGCTGCTGCTGCTGCTGCTGCTGCTCTTGCTGTTGCTGCTCTTGATGTTGCTGCTCTTGTTGCTGTTGCTGCAGTTGTTGTTGCTGTTGCAGGTGTTGAAGATATTGAATTTGTTGTAGATGTTGTAGCTGTTGTGGTTGCGGCTGGCCCTGCTGTGTCCTCGCAGTTCGCGATGCCCGTCCTTGTGAAGTAACAGATGACCTCCGATCAACACCTTGGGCTGATGCAGAAGGCACGTTAGGAGAATGCTGCGCCGCTGGGGGACCGACCAATGGCTGTCGCCCGGGCCCAGTGAAAGGGGATGTTGCGGAAGCGGGGGAACCCGCTTGTCTAAAACCTAATGCTGCTAATTCAGCCAACTTCTGTGCCCGCTCGACGTCTACACTGAGGTGATTCCTGCGCTGGCCCATGGAGGGTGCCGGTGCAGGTTGTCCAAACTGTTGATGAGGGTTGGGCATACCAGCATCTGGGGAGTTTTGAAGGGCAACGGTGGGATCCCGGGCGACCCCACCGGCAACGAGGCCCACATGGAGAGGAGGTTGGCGGCTCTGTGGATTACCAGATGATCGTGAAAGGGCTAAGTGGTTGAGAGCAATTTGTTGATTCTGTTGTTCAGCTAGAAGTTGGAAGGGGTCTCCACTAGGTACTTGCCCTGGCATTACAAGGTTAGGGTTATTTCGGCTGTTTTGCCGAGCCTGTTGCATTTGGTGAAGCCTTATCTGTTGTTGATGTTGTTGCTGCTGTAGCTGTTGATGTTGTTGCTGCTGTAGCTGTTGCTGTTGTTGCTGCTGTTGTTGTAGCTGTTGTTGCTGCTGTTGCTGTAGCTGCTGTTGCTGCTGTAGGTGTTGCTGTTGTTGCTGCTGTTGCTGTTGCTGTTGCTGTTGTTGCTGCTGCTGATGCCGTTGCTGCTGATGCCGTTGCTGCTGCTGCTGCCGCTGTGACGCCTGGGGCTGTGATTGGGGCGGTTGTGGTGGTTGGGGGTTTGGGGATGGCAAAGGAACATTTTGACTTGCCGAGACGTGACCCTGAATATAACGCGCGATGACAGTACACATGGTAGGAGAAGTGACTTTCCAGCCATGCTCAATAACATCAACGTTAGGAGCAACCCCACGTTTAACATAATAATCCCGCATGACGGGCACTACCTAGAATCAACCCGTTAGCCTTCCGTTAAACCGTGATGCCCAACTACGAGGACTGCAAATCTGCGGACCTTGTATCCCTCAGCCATAAATCTCGCGACATATCCTACATATTTATGGTAGTAAGATAATTGCTTCAACGCATCCGGCAACGGAACTGGCATCGTGGAAAGGTACGTGAGGTATTTCTGCCTAGGTTTGACACCATCGTGCAATATCTCAGACATAAGTGCAATTCCGGGCATATTTGCGGCCACCTTTGTATAGGTCGCCAGCATCCGTTCATTGACCAAAGCAAGTGTATACAACTGGTGCAGCACAGCAAAGAACCAATCATTGGCAACAATGGCCTCCCGCATAATATGGAATCGAAAACGCTCCGCAGAATTAAATTTCTGGGGTCCTGAGCCACCTTCTCTCTGGACGTATGAATCGTAATTAGGGAGCAGCAGCTTAAGCTGGGGTACACCCCCCACCGTTGCTTGCAGCTGCACAGGTTGTGCCGGCTGTGCCCGGTTTGTAACTTGCAACTGGGTTTGCGTTGACAATGCAGCCTGGTACTGAGAAAGATCTGCCTGGCTAGCAGCGGGAAAGTATGCGGTTTGTATGGGTGAGTTGAGTGGCGCGAATCCCGGAGATCCCGCATGAGACGGAGGAACCATAGTCGGTTCGGTCCCGGGAGAGCTCGCATCGGCACCCCAAGATGTGGAATATGTGAGGGGAAGCGAAGGATTGCCGCCATGGCTCGCCGGGTGTGGTGCTACGGGGTTGTGGCTTTGGGCCATGGTTTGTCCGGCCGAAGGAACCGTCGGGGTAAGCGATTGGGGAAGTCGGGGGGATGGCATATTAGGCTGCGTGTAACTCCGAGCGGGGGCTGGTGTCCGCTGTGTTTGCTCAGCCACCGCTGGACCCGGTGTCTGCGTAAATGCTGAGACTGGCCGCGGGTTATCCGGGGGTGACTGGAAATGGAGAGTGTGATGTCTCAATCGCTTTTGGGCTTGTTCAGAATCTAAACCGCCCGATGGCGAACTTCTCTTTGTCCCCGCTAACTGGCCATCGGAAGCAGATCGTGGCACTCCCGGCCGTCCTGTTTGCTGCTGTTCCTGGCGGCTCGATGATTCACTCGGCCTTGCCACTCCGCCATTTTCGCCAGACCCTTCGGATGAAACGTCTATTCCTATTGCCTCCGCACATTGACCTTGGCGCTCAATGGCCACAGGCATAGGAGAACCTGATGGGGTGCTCCGAGCAGCCACAGCGGCCACATTAATATCCTCCGTATCCCTCCTATCCGTAACAGATTGGGTGTCGCTGGGGGCGGGCGACGGCAGAACAGCCTCAACGTTATGCAAAGACCGCGTTGTTCCAGGGGGCAATTCTGAACTGAGTAGGTCCGGGGAGTTTGAAGCAGTCGGGGGAGGTGAGGCTTCACCAGGCCCTACAGTGGCAAGAAGTGGTATTGATCGACCAACCTGGTGAACGACACCAACACTACCAGAATCTATCGACGAAGCTCTGCTCAGCTGTTTGTTCACCCGTGAGCCTGGTACCGACCACGCAGTTCGGGCCGGGGATCTCACGGAAATCCCGGCATCAGAACCACCCCCACTCATCCAACCCTTTGTCCTTCTTCCACCTATAAAAGTTTGGGCGGTAGTGTTCACCTTGTTCATCTCGGTTCTGTCGCGTCTCGCGTGAGCATTGCATGTCTTGGAGAGAGAGAGAGCAAACGAATGGGTGAGAAACTGGGTTTACTCACGACACGCTCGGGCGTTCCAGGCGATCAGATCCTCTCCTCGTGTTCGACCTCCTCCCTCCAGCCAAGGGGTTACCCTCCACGCCGGTAATACCACTTGTGGAGGAATCCCTCGAATTCGGAAGCATGACTCGGTTTGCTCTCCTGCACTTTTTTGTCCTCCGGAAACTCCCTCTGGGCGAACCTGCCCAATTCAAACTCGAATAGTGCAGCAGTAACAAATTAATTCTGCACACAACGAGGAATGAAGAAAGGGAAAAAAAAAAAAAAAAAAAAAGCAGGGGAGGGACTCGGCTCGCTTAAAACGCTGTTCTTTCTTCTTCTCCTCCTAGCCCGGAGAAATACCGAACTACCGGTACCGGGTTGACGTGGCGACCGAGGGAGATGATAAGGTAATGCCGGCAATCAGGGCTCGCGTGAATTGGGGGAGCGAATCGAATGGGAGATCGTGGCTCCTCTTGAGCAAGAAGCAAACCTCTTCAGAACGGTCTATAACGTTATCGCCCCCACCCCCCACTTCTCCTTTCTTTTTCCTTCTATCCCCTCTGCAGTCACTAGCCAATGCGTCTGTCTTCGGATGGTATGAAATCCTGCTGTCTCTTGAATTGAGGGGTAATTCTATCCCCTCATTTCCACACACAGATCGATCCTCTTTAATCTCTGCCCTCTTACTGGTCGACCCTTGATTTGGATGTTCCTAGTGCAAAAACTAGCAGGAAAAAAAAAGAAAAACAGCCACCTGCATCACAGAAAAAATACCAATTGAGTAGCAACCTGGAGAGCAGGAGACAAAAAAAAAGGATGTCCAAACTCCACTTCTTTTTTCTTGCTCTTCCTCCCCTCACACTCTCACCTTTTATCCACTCAACTCAATAAAATAAATAGGTGTGGGTGTGGGAAACCCTCTAGTTTATATACTCTTCCAACAAAAAGGAGTCACATGCAACATTTTCATTAATTTTTAACAGTGTTTGTCTCAGCCCCTCTTCTTTTTTCCTTTTTTTTTTTTTTTTCCTAGTCACCGGATTACCCCCTTTGTTCACAGTCGGCAAGCACCCCTCGCATTTGGTAAGCCGCAAAGGGGGGGATCGAGGATTCTGGATCCTTCACAAGCGGGACTCAAACCCGACCAACCACGTTTCAGTATGATACGTAACACCAACAAAACGCGTGATCATGCCGGAAACCTGCAATCTGATCATTGGGGTTGAAGGGTAGGTGGGAGGAGACGATGGATGAGATAACCCCCACAGCAGCTGATACCGGTCTCACAAATCACATGTGAGCCCTCCCTGGCCGTTCTTACCGCTGAAGAGCCAAGGCAGGACCGGCGTGGCGTGGCCCATTTACATGTAAAAGTTGCTCCCCAGAATTGCGAAGAAAAAAAAAGGGTTGAGTCATCGGCACCGGGACCGTAGAGCACTGTACTCGTACTAGTACGTGCACGGCACAATAAAGTGTGCCAGGATCACTGGGGAGATGATACAAGTACTCCAGTGAACGCCACCAATCAAGGGTTTCGTGCCTGTACGAGTACGAATGTGGTATTGTACTACCGGTACCAGTACTTGTACGACACACTGACTGACTGATCGAACCAAACCCACTACTCTTGTACCCGAGTACTTGTAACACCCTGACCCCAAATCCCGCACAGATAAAACCCAAAAACCCCGTGCGGAGCTGACTCGCGCGGCCGGTTCGCTAGTTCACGAATTTTCACTCGCTGACCGCCAACCGGCCCGGCCGGTCGCAACTGCACTCGCATGGTGCGCGACATTTGGTCAGTATGAGCTTTAAAAATCACCACCTTCTCATTGAGCAGATGGATAGACCTTCCAGAAGAAAGAAGCCGGTCGTCAAGGCCAGGTGGAAAATCCACACCAGGACCCCTCCAGACATAGGAAGACCCTAGCAAGCAAGGCAAAGCAAGTTCCATTCAGACCTAACCTGCAACCATGTCCAATTTACAAAGCAGATTCGTGAATCGATTAGGGTTACCGGTAAGTAGCCCATCTGTAAATTAACCAGCCACCCATCCATCCATCCATCCGTTGGCTCGTTGGTTCGCCTCGTGCTACAGTACAGTACGTGCTGTGTGCCACGATATCTATTGATAATAGCCTATGATACCGTATTATACCACCCCCGAAAACGTGGAACCGGACATCACAACGCGACACCATACAATACAATACAATGCAGTACAGTCTACTCTAGTCCGAATGGAAACGGGGGGGGCGCAATGCGGTCACGCAGAAAAGGGCACCGAATTAATTGACCCGTGCCGTACTGTACTACAGTATACTGTACTGGCGACCTGAAGACCGTACCTGTAACAGTGAACCGAAACCCGAAACCACCGTTGGACTACAAGTATAATTATAATAGGGTACCAAATCCCAGGGGATAGAATACTTTGTCGGAAAACGGGCAGAGCAGAGCAAGGCAAGAGAGAGAGAGAAAAGAAAGAGAAGGGGGAGGAGAAAAGGGACAGGCGGCCAACTCATTGTTGCATTCGCATATTTGCGCCGTACAGTACACTGCACCCGATCCCGATAGATAGATGGGTGGAATGGCTGGAATGGCTGGAATGGCTGGAATGGCTGGAATGGATGGATCGATGCGGGATGGTTAGACCGCGTGATGGGCCGTGAACCTATGAGTGAGTGAGTGATTTTGATCGATCGAGCGTGTTGCCGGTGAGAGGAAATGGGCACGCGGAATGCACGAGCTTTTTTATGGCCGTTGGGGAATCGGGGAAGGGGGTTGGTCGGTCGGTAATGATAGGGTGGTAGTGATATATGTATATACGGTTGTACATACTATATGTATTTTTATCCTTGTTTTTTTTTCTTTTTTTCTTTTTAATTAACGGAGAGGAATTGGGGAGTTTAATCGGATATCATGGGAATTGGATGGGATGGGATGGTATTGGGTGGGATCATGGCTTGTCAATCGGTTTGGGGGGGTAAGGGTTGTGGTGCTAGCACAGGCTTGACTTTCCATGGGGATATCGTGCTGGTAATGGTTGTGGGAAAGCCTCGTGCTCATCCACGATGCTATGGGTGGATCTCACATGGTTCACTCTTCTGAAAGTGCGTAGCGCGTAGGCGTCCGACAGTCTACGATCATAATATAATGGTGGACGGGTTGCAGCCACAGCTTTACTGGACCTTACGGTTCTACCTTGAGACGGACCATGTCCTCCCGTGCTAGCCAGTTAAAAATTTGTAGCAGCTTTAAATCCCCTCCTGTCCCGTAATAGCCCTGTGCGGATCTTGTATCCCGAGTGACTTGGATAACAGTCGCGGCCATGCATGGTGGCTCTGCGCTGCTTCCTTTGGCAAGCACCTACCTTGCAAGAGCTTCTGGCATCATATCCCGGAAAGCAAGTGTCCCGGAGGGAGAGTGGTTCCCGAACTTAAATGCTATCGTTATCGTGAGCTAGAACGGTAGTTTGTTGCGGGGTGCGTGTGACATGTAGCACCCGCTCGTGTGGCGGCGCTTTCCTAGATCGCTGAGCTGTTCGGGGTCTTGGGGGAGCTCACGGGTTGCTGAAGTCTCTCGGGGGTTTCTTATGTTCTCCCGTGGGTATCTGTGATGAGGAGGTGGGGGGGGGCTTGAGGACGTTGGGGTATGTTGTATCATATCATAATAGATAATTTGGGCTTCTGGGTGTTAGGGAGGCCTGGTGCTCTGGGGGGTGGCTGCTCTTGTTTTTGATGGAAGGTTTGGGGAGGCGGTAGGTTGTTCCAGTATTGAGCCCGAGGGGTTGTAGAAAATTGAGGGGAGGAGGGGAAGGAGGAGGGGAAGGAGCATTAGGTATATGTGAGCTTTAGGCAGGTCCAAGAATTTTGGATTTGGAGTGACATGAACCTTGATCTGTCGGTGACGTCTGTGGGGAGCTGCGCTATGAAGGGAACTAAGAGCGGCAAAGGGAGGGGGGGTTGCGGATGTACTGTACGATCGTGTGTGAAAAGAAAAAAAACCTACCATGAGATTCTTTGTCTGAAACGGGCGCGATAGTAGTATGAAGTATGATAGGAATCTCTTTGGCAAACATGGCGATCTATAGATGAGAAATAGACCAATGATAACGTGAAAAAGGAGGATGAGGGGGAAAAGTCGGGCATTACCTGTTTGTATGAAAGAGAGGTTATAACCTCTAGAATATATTCGGGTGCTCACAGCTGTAGGCTCCTGTAGCAGCCCCGCTCCCGCGGATGGTGGTGATGGTTGTTCTTTGCTCTTGGATTTTGTGGACCGCACTAATATGGTAAGCCAAACAATCTTACTTGCGGGAACGCTTATCCCAACTAGAAAATGGGTTTACTCAGATATATTTATTGAAACCCAAGATAGTCCCGATATTCGGGTCAACTCTTAAGCCACTGTGGGCTTGCCGACAAGCACTGAAACAACTGCTCGACCCATGCCGGAAGCCAGGGCCCCTGGAGCTAGGGCCACGGGCGACTTCAGAGAGAACGCGGCCGAAGCTTAACAGATGCACAGGTAGCGGAGCGTCTTGTGTCGTGCTCTGGCCATGAGAGTATAAGGAGCACGCCATGCCCAATGTCTGCTGGCCTGAAGTGCTCTATTCTGCGCTTGTACCAGCATTCCGATAGGACTTGTTGGTGAGAGTCTATGGGATGGCGAGATTGGCCGTGTGGGATTGCAGGGTCCCTAGGGGCTTGAAGCAAAGGCTTAGTCTAGGAGTATCGTAACTCATTGTTTCCCCCAAGCCGGATGAGTAATAGGACTAACCCCTAATATCAGCACCTAATATGCAGACGGTTCAGCTCCTTGCCGGGTGGTGCGGTAACGGTGCTATGCCAATCACCTATTGAGTCAACCAGCAATATATTCCATCGTCCAGGATTTTTAAGTGAACAAAAATAGCTATGGTGGGACACATTTGTACTCGTACGAGCTGTGCAACCCAGTGATTGGTTAGGGTTACCCAAAGGGAGCTGATACAAGGGCCGGCTAAAAGTCCTGGACGGATCTAGTAGGTACTGTGCTGGTATCAAACCAGTAAACCTTGTCCGGACTCCTAGGTTGTCTCCACCGAACCGATCGTGGTATGGCACAAGGAGTTCTCTGGAATGAGATTTGCGAGAGTTATGAGGGCCCACAGAGTATTAGCAGAGGGCCTGCAGGTTCCCGAACATGAAGTTTCTTGTGTCGGGAGGAAGGGTTGTCGTATTTTTATTTGGATGATGGGTTGACAGTCACACTGGGTTAATGGGTCTTTGATACTTGTCCGATTGGGGAATGATTGGCAGTGGTGAAGACATGATCAAATGTCACTTTTGCCCTCTTTTCGATAGGATCGCCTTGGTGTGGTATGACTCCCTGGATGCGTCTTCAGGTGTGTAATCATTGTCCCATCCTTTGGTGGTATTGGGAAGAGAAATGGTATAGGTGTCATTCGTGCAACGCACAAATGATATTATGATAGTGCACTTTATTGATTCTGTAGCCTAAGGGTTAGTCTGCTGAGTGCGGTAGGGCATGATGACTTGATATCATACCTGTGAACGATCACTTACCGGTACTCGAGCATGATACCTATTAACCAAACAATACGGTACGGTATTAGCCCTGGATATCCGTTGTCGCCTGAATCCGGACTTCGCTCTTGGACTGCGAGAAGCTAGAGGAACATCGCTCCAGTCTATCCTTGAAAGTTGGCACCTGGAGCAGTGCAAGGAGAGGCATACTGTTGGACTGACGGGAGCATCGGGACGGTAGCGGCATATTGCACCCTAGGCGTTCGCGTATCGTAGTAAGAAATCTCTAGTCTTCCTTTTTCTCCCGCATACCCTCATCGGCCAACGAGCAAGCTTCTCGGCGTTCACCAGCGTATCAGAATAAGGTTTGTGTCTGGGCGTCAGATCCCAGAGCTGCTCAAACATTCGGAGAGTCCCCTCCATAACCTCCTGCAGTCCAGCCGTTCGTGTCCCTTCAAAATCTTGTGAGCCTTTTCTCTCTCTCTCTTTTCCTTCTCTCCTTTCCCCGCCCCTTCTGCCCGGGTGCTTCTCGCGGCCATTCATATCGCCCCCCTCTATCCTGACTAAGACTCCTAAGGCTACTCCTTCCCGACTCTATACTCGAGTACAGCAGGTCTTGCTAGGTTGCTTGGTGCGGTTCTCTTTTCCATCCTTCACTCACTCGGCTCCTCTGGCGAGGGAAGGAGAAACGCGTATAAACAACTTTACCCGGCCCCCCCCTCCCCTTTTGATCTCCGATACCACTGCTTCAGGCGGCCGCACTGTGACGATTGAATTGAAGGGAGGTGTTGGACATACCGGTATTCTGCGGGCGGGACAGGACGGATTTTTTCCCCCCGTTGAATTGATTTTCACCACGAGCGCGCTTCTCCCCCCCTCATCCGCCGCCCTCGCCGATCGGACTACTCTAGATACCCTTTCCCCCTCTCGGCACCGCTTGAAGATTTTATTTCCGCGGAGCGAAGCGGGGAATACATTTCGGAGCGTGTGTGCGCGTGGAGAGAGAGAGAGAGAGAGTTAGTGAGAGCGATAGAGGATGGCGGATGATGGGGCTTCTTCTACGGCAAACAACTCAGGCGGTCGAGTAAACCCTCGACCGGCACTCACTATTCCCACAGACGCGACCTTACTACGCGTGATTCACGACTTTAGCGCTCGTTCCCCCGATGAGCTTACATTACGCAAGGGGGAGCATGTAGAGTTGCTGGAAAAGGACGGTAGGAATTGACGGCTCCTCCGCGTCTCTTGTACATAAAGCTCTTTCAGCGCTGACCATTGCAACAAAGACGGGTTCAATGACGGATGGTATCTGGTGAGTTTCACCGTTCATTCCGCTCCGATCATTCCTCCAATCGTGTTTGGTGATTGGAAAAATATTATTACTATTACGCTGTTCTATCATACATGGTCTTCCGCCTCCTTTGCCTGTCGCCGCTGCTGCTATGACGCTTGCGTGCCCACCTGCGCTTCAGCATATTTTTCGCTTTTCCCTTCAGGAAGGGAGAGTAGGAGGAGGAGGAGGATTGACGGAGGAGAGGGGGAGAGAGAGGGGGAGAGAGGGAGAGGAGGGGGGGGGGCTGGAAGAGGAAAAAAAGCAAAAGAAGATATCATTCTCTGCGGCCAGCACATGTGTGTACATGTACATTGCGTTGCTTCGGCACTGCATTGGACATTCTGTTGGCCTTTTTTCTGTCTCTCCCCCCACAATGATACACAGAAGCGCCCTGGCAGCAGCAGCGACAGCACGCACTTTCACATCATATTCCTTTTCGCGAACTAGGCCTCAAAGCTCGAGGAAAGTAATTCGCTAATCTTGCGAGGGTTACGCAGGGACGCTCTCTTACCACCAACGTAAAAGGCCTTTTCCCTCAAGGTGAGTTTTCTTTTTCTTCCACTTCCCATACTGCCTACACTCTACACTCTACACCCTACCCTACTCCCCCCACTGGCATGGTACTTTGCACTTCACTACATGGCCGGACTCTCCTTCCTCTGCACAGGAAAATTCACCAGATTTTTATGACATGTCGTTTGGCTTTGGGGCATATTTACCTTTCAACAAACAATGGCTAAGCGGTAATATTCCCTGGGTTCGAAAAGTCTACACAAGTACGGAATTCGTCAGTACCGTAGTGGGATCGCCTGCAGTGTTTACACCCTCACCCACTGCTCCTATGCAACCCGGCCCATCATCGACAGCAGTCCCACTCACGACGATGACCTCTCCTCTTGTTCCTCCGCACACACCAACCAATGCAGGAACCCCAGGGCCGGGTCCATCTCAAGCATCGCCTGTCAATTCTCATATATCATCCTCGCATTCAACAATTGAGGAAACAGATGACCACGATCCTACACCACCACTTTCCGTTGATAAGGTCTCATCGCCTACGGCGACACCCAAACTGGCCTCTCCAAATGTTACGAAAGCATTGGTTCAGGGAAAGGATGACATATCGAGCGTGAATTATCCACCGGGTGTGCATAGCCCCGTGGTTGAGGATACCCTAAGCGACATAGATGAAGTCATAACCGAGATTTCCGGTTCCAGAGAAAGTAGAACGAGCCAAGTGATGAAGGATCACAATCGACGTCACAGCAGTGTATCGAATACCCACCCGTCATTCACACCAATAGGACAGGTTGTTCAGGATTCGTCCTCGGAGTATTCAAAGCATGAAAACGAATCCGGCTCTGAAATTGAGGATGATGACCCAGAAGGTGCTAATCTGCCCGACAGCGGAGAAGTGTTTTATACGGCGGAACAGATCAAGGCTTGGACGCCTACGGAGGTCGCTCAATACCTGGAAAGTCGCAACATTCCCTTCGCTTCTTGTCAAAAGTTCGAGGAACAGGAAGTCAACGGGTCAATTTTGCTACAACTAGAGATGCCGCATCTCAAGGAATTGGAGCTGGGAAGTTTTGGGAAGAGGTTTGAGATTTGGAAGGAGATTGAGAATTTGGTGAAGAGGTCTAAGAGGCCGCCTCCAAAGACAAAACCGAGAAGTGGAAGTGATGCACGGTTATCCGCGGTGGGTATATCTCAGACAAGCCCTCGTCAAAGAAGCAGCACAATTGGAGGGGGGCCGGTGCTACCGATGATTCCCAGTCATCATAACCGGCCAGTCTCAAAGCAGCATCATATCAATACTCACGAAGCGAATATCCTAGACCCTAGAAATCATGGTTACGCGCCTCTCCATACCCCAATGACAGCAACCACTACGGCCTCGGGCACGGGCGCCAACACCCCGCCCGGTGTCTTTGAGGCACCCCGCTCGCCGCCGATTTCACCTCGACGATCGGGCACTACCTCGCATCATTGTCGCACCGTTTCCGGAAGGCGACTTTCTGCACACGAACTCTCACCAACAGCTTTAAACGTTGCTTTATCCGCTTCGACGGCAATTCTTACAGCCGGGATGGATGGAAAGGGGCACCAAAGAATTTCATCTTTTGATCGGAACTGGTCAAGTTCTGCACTGACTCAAACTCTACCTCCTACGGGGGATGACATTGGAGAATTCGGGCACAAGACGAGTGCAAGCGTTGGAACAGGGGATACGGGTTTTACTGGTGATAGTGGGTTCTCGGGATCGCAGCCCCAAACTCCAAAAGTGACGGAGCGTAGCTACTTTTCTAGTGGAGAATCTACCCCCAGAGAACGCAAATTGTTGCAAAAAAAGAATGGGGGTAATCATGCCAGGAAAGCTAGCTACACTGAAGAACAAAGGCTGAGAAGTGGTACAGCTCATGCTAGACAGTCTAGGGTCGGTAGCGCGGAAACCCCCGGAAAACCTGCACCCGTGTGTACGGCGGCTCAGGTCTATCACATTCGTGGCAACAGCAAGGAAAAACAAAATAAACGGAAAAGCACTTCGCTGAGTGGGCCTCCGGAAGGATTTCCCTATGATTCGCCAGGCCTCTCCCCGTCCCTGTCAGGAAGGGTACCCCCTCGTGGGACAACGGATGATCCCATCATTGCGAACACGAGCATCCTTACCCCTGTTGTTCCTACCCGTTCTGTATCGGAAACCCTCAAGAAAGCGGATTCCGGATTGGGTTCCGGCGATGGGTCTACCCCCTCGCTCACCCCAACCCTCGAGTCGGATACGGTGGCAGGGCCCCCGGAGAGGCCCCCGAAGGCAGACCGAACCCGGTCAACCCCGGGCCGCCGCATCCGTGGTGTTTCCTCTGGGACCGCGCTTCGCCAGAAATCGAAGAAGCACCACACAAGCGCGTGGGAGAAAGGGTTACGTGAGATCACGCCGCAGGAAGCCGCCGAAACAGCTGATTTTAGTGGGTGGATGAAGAAACGCGGCTCAAGTGGGCTTGGTGTTTGGAAGCCCCGGTTTTTTGTGCTTCAGGGTCGGCGGTTGGCATATTTTTATGCGGACACTGATACCAAGGAGCGTGGATTGATTGACATTACATCCCACAGAGTCCTCTCGGCTACGGACGACAGATTTGTTAGCCTGCACGCTCAGTTTGCCGCCGTTACGAGCCCCAGCGCCAGCCCGCACGCCCCGTCCAGTGCTTCCCCGACAATGCAAAGCGCTACATCACTCAACGGGGAAAAGTCACCAACATCACCGAACCTCCCGCCGCCGCCGCCGCCGCCGCCGGAGAAGAGGGAAAAGGGCGCCGACAAAGACAGGGGCAAAGAGAAGGAAGAGAAGGAGAGAGGCTGGTTCACATTCAAACTTGTCCCCCCGGCCCCCGGTGCATCCAAGGGGGTGACGTTTACACCCCCGAGACTGCACTACTTTGCCACCGACACCAGAGAAGAAGGCAAGAAATGGATGGGCGCGATAATGAAAGCCACAATCGACCGCGACGAGTCAAAGCCCATTGTCAGCAGTTACAACGCAAGGACCATATCCCTGGCCAAAGCACGCCAGCTCAAGTCCCGGCCACCAGAGTTGGCGATAAGAGATGATGGCAACGGCATGGACTTTGGCCTCGATCGTAACGGCCGTCCGGAAAGTTCAACTTCTGGCCTTGCTATCACAGGAATAGAATTCGGTGACGGAGGCGAGGAGGCTGATGTTGAGGATGGCCGTGACGGGAGCGTGGAAACTGCGGGGAACGGTGAGGCGGAGAGTAGTCATGACGGTGGGGATGAGAGGGAGAGGGAGGAGAGCTTGAAGAGTGGCCGGGAGAGCGGAGGGGTCGAGGTTGTGCTTGGGGAGACGGAGACGGAGGAGGAGAGGGGGCGGAAGGAGTTGTTGAGTTTGGTGGGTGACATTGGGATTATTGCTCGGTAGAGAGTACAGTGTGTGGGTGGTGTGGATATTATATGCGCCCTTTCTGGCACCCTTTTTTTTTTTACGTCGCTTTCTCCCTGTTTCTTGCCCCCTGTTTCCTCTTATTTTCTTTCCATCGATACCGACTGCTCTTTGGTTTACGCCATCACACCTCGAGCGTAACCGTTTCTCCCCCATTTTCCTTGTCCTTATTTCCTTTTATTCGTCTCCTGGGTTCTTAGTACCATCCCCTAATTATTCTCTTCTTTCCACATATTCCTGTGTTCCTTCTCCTTTCCTCCTATTCCCTTTTTCTCTCATGTCTACTCTTGGAACACGAACAGCTCTAGCATTCAACCCTTCATTCTCGATTCCGCAGACGGGCAAGGTCCTGGTGGGATGTGGCGGCGTTCGCCAAACTTTTTTCGTTTGTACCTTTACTTTTACTGGTAGTTCTGTTTGCGCGCTTTTTTCTTTCCCCCCTACCGTATCTCGCGGGGTTGATATTGGGGCTTGTGTTTAGGATTGGGCTGTATATTCGAACGGCTGTGGCTGTGGTGGATGGGAAAGAGAGAAATAAAATTAAATGCGTTTTATCTTCTTCATAGGGTATCATACTGTACTATCAAGTTTTGAGTCCGTCTTTGTGGGAGGATGTATGGGGTATGACAGGATCCGGACGGCGTGTCGTGTCCATGGGTGCCTGGGGCATCGCACCCGTTGGCTCTGCGGGTTTTTGGCGTTGCCATTGTCCACGGCGGGATGCGGTACGGTAGGCAGGCTGCGCCCGCGAGGGCTGCTCGGGTTCATGGAGCCGATGCGGTACGGTACGGTACCGTACTGTACCGTACAGTGCCATCATCCATCATACAGCACCCCCCTTCCCCCCCCACCCACAATCCCCACATTACCAAGCATGGCAAGACAGGCTCGGTTTCTAAGTCTTTACGATTCCTCATCCTTCCATTCATCCAAACGGGTATTTATAGATGGGTGAACGCACAGCAACCCTTAGGCCCCCTTCAAACGCAAAGTGAAGAATCCGGTTCCACCGTGCGGTGTCTCGCTCACAGCACCGGTAGCGCTGCCCCATCCCTCCACGGATCATGTGCTGAGCGGATCGAGTCACAGTGGTGAATGTTTACCGCATTCATTTGTGTTTCGTTTCGTATTTGTACGGGACAAGTGGGTATCCGCCCGCTCCGTAGCGGGCGTGTGTGTGTGTGTGTATGTACTCGAGTACCGGTACAGTACGAGTACCATACGACCGTATGATGCCCTCGAATATAATGGAGGTGCGTGTCAAGCTATGTGTGTAAGCGTGAGGGTACGGTACGGCGATACAATCACTAGTTACGGGGAAACATAATTCCTGTACAATTTCTCAAAGAGGTTACTCCGCTACCAAGAGATTTCACGAATCTGTAAGGTACGGCTTGCAGGCTGGGGAGGGGGGGGCGGCGGTAGCGGTAGGGCGTGAGTCAGAAGTCTGTGCGTGGTTGGTGCCATGATTCACGGCTGTGTGTGTGTACGGAGGGCACAGGTACCAGTGGGCGAGATGGAACTGGAATCATCGTGGGATGAGTCATGGTAGCTCGGCCATGGTGGTTTGCTATACGAGCACCGGTGGTGTTGCCGGTACGGGATGATAGCTACCCGAGCATCATATCATATCATCATATCATACCCGATTGTACAGTATAGGCATAGTATGATTTGCGCTGGGTTGCTGGCGTTGCCTGGGGCGCAGACGCCGCCCCACCCCGACACGCTATACTTGTATAAAAGAAGCCCTGGCTTGCTTCGCTTTTCAAGACTATACAAGTGAGTGCCTTGCGTTGCGTTTTCCTTGTCGCGTTGGCGGTTTTCCTCGGAGCTTTTGTTGAGCCTCCTCCTGTCCACTCGACTTGGCCCGAATCGAGAGGAACGCGAACCGTGAGCCGCGAATGGGAACGAGCGGATGGGGCTGACTTTGGACGATTGATTTGAAGGTGAGATTATGATTTCTTTTTTCCTTTCTTCTTTTCTTTTTTTCCTCTTTAATTTACTCGAGCGCTGCGTCTGGTTGTGTTGTGTTGAGAGGTGTGTGCTTTTATGTTTTTTTTTTCTTTCCTCGTTTCTGGGCGCTCTCGATGTGATGTGCCGTGCGTGCGGTGAGGAAGGGACAAGGCTTTGCCTCGTTGCGTTGATGGGGGGAAAGAGGGTTTGGGAGAAGGGGGGGAAGGAGGCTGGAGGGGGAATGGAAGGAAGAGAAGGAAGGGAGGAAGGAAGCAAGAGGTGTGAGGTTATCATAGTAACGGGGGGAGCCTTGTGAGGAGGGAAGGGAGGTTCCCGAGGAAGGATTGGCGGCATCATCATAGATGTTAGGGCGCAAAGGTCGGTACCCCTTCCTTGACCATCTATGGATGTGTCGTCTTGTACCTAGCATGCATCATACCTCACACCCCCCCCTCT